AGGTCTAAGGATAGGAAACAGCCCTCGAGCTCTTGAGTCTGTCCTTGCAGGTTGGGGCCAAGGCTCTAGCACGAAAGACTGCAGGAAATGTGTGCCCTGCAGCTGCCCATAGTGTTTCTTGTTACATCCAGAAATGCCTCTCTAACACCTTTTACCTGCACTAAGCTTTGAAGGAAAGCTGCGTTCCCCTTACTCACCCTCTGATTAACGGTGTGGATGAAAAGTGGAAGGCTGTGCTGAAGGAGCGAGCAAACAAAGAAGCGGGAAAGCGGCCAGCATTCTGCACCTCTAAATCACATCGAGCATGCTGGAGATTAATCAGGCATCTTACGCTGGAGGGCTGATACAAAACAATTATGTTTTATGGGCTTGTGGCTCTCTAACCAGTGATTTCATCTCCAGCCAAAGGTGGATGCAATGCTGAGGCCAGGTGGGCATGGCAGGTTAGGACACTTTGTGGTTTGCATGTTCTGGTTTGGAGTGAGCCGGGGTTCGTTTCTGCTCAGACAGTTTTTTTCTTGCCCATTCTGCCCCAATAATTTTTTGGTAATTACACACTCAAGGATGGAGTTCAGCCTGCTGGGGCTTTTGGATTTTACAAGTGTGAAATTGCTCACCCAAAACCAAATAAAATGCATTTAATAACAACCAAAAATTAAAATGGAGAAGCAGCCAGTGACCTGCACTTCTTGTCCTGTTCACTGTGACCATACTGTGTATGTACACCCTGGCCGGGTGCCTACGATGCCTTGAATGCTGACGTGTGCTCTGTTGTTCATGGAGGTTAGTGGCTGCATTAACTCTTCAGGGTGGAAACGTGCCCCGACCTCTGCAAAGCTGCTTCATCCAGGGAGATGTGGGTGTAACGCGCTGTTCGTGTTGATATCCCGAACTGAAATGACAAATCCTAGCCCCAGGGCAAGGTAGGCATCCTGCACCTGAGACTGAGTGCGTTTTGGAGGGCTCACGGGGACCCCGATCAGGAATTTGGCTGGGATCTGGGGCAGGTGACAAGAGGGGCTCCGCGTTGGCGTCTCGTTTAACCCGCGCGCGGCTCCCGCCTCGGCGGCTGCTCCCTGCTGCTCGCGGCTGCCCCGGCGCCTCCGCTCTGCCCGTTTGCAGGAGCAGCAGCAGCTCCTGCCAAGGCTGCGTCAGCGCTGCCGGAGCTCTGCGTGCGCAGGGCGCTCGTGCTTGCGTTGCCTTGCGTTGCGTCGCGTTGCCTTGTGTCGCGTTGCGCCGCGTACGGATTCTTCTCCACAGCTTCCACCCAAAATGGGACTAAAACTAGCGTGGTCTGAGAGCATCCCCGTGCCAGGAGGGTCTATCTGCCCTCTCCAAAGGTTTGTGGCTCGGTTACAAGTCCAGCTGGCTGGCTCTACTCAGCGTCTATTCTTCCTCTCTGAAGACAGGGCCTTTTTTGCTCGTTGTTCGCAAGCAGAATTTCTATGGACGTGGATTGAATGTGGGCAGAGAAGCCAAGATAAATCAAACTTAGGGGAAGTAGCAGGCAACCCACTGGGTGGTTTGTTTAGGGTTAGCACCTTGCTGTTAATCTGCCCTAGTAAGAACAGACAGGGGCACGTAGGAAGCGGCCTCTGTTTCCTGTGCCAGGACCAAAGGGACTGTGTCCATCCCGGGTGCCCCCACGTCCTGGGGGTCTTTTTTCACCCCTGGGCTCCTTGGAGGCTTTGAGCTCCGAGACGAAGGTAATAATGTGTTAGTGGGGTGTGAATCTGGCAGCCCAGGCCCTTGGCTTGAGCACAGCACAGATAATAGCTCGTGGTGAATGGTATTTCCAAAACTTTCCAGCACTGGCAAGAAAGAGGCATTTTTACATGAAGCGGGAGGAAAGAGCTGAAAGGCAGGGAAATGTCATAACTCGTCCACAGCCGCAGTGAGAACCAGGAGTGTAACGTGGAGCTCTGGCTCCCTGCTGGATGCTCTCTGCTGGGCCAGGGCTTCTGGTGGAGACTCTCAAACCCTCAACCCTTCTGCTGGGGAAGCAGTTTAAGAGCTGCTGTTGAAACAAGGCTGGGCACACGGAGGGGGCACCGGGATGATGCCAATGGAGAGGAACTGTCCATGGGCACCAAGGGGATGTTTGCAGGGGAGCTGCGAGTTGCCATCCCAAGTCCTGGCTGCTCAGTGCTCCTCAGTGTCCATGATTCAGGCATTGAGCTCCCATTGCTTTTCTTGGGAAACGTCGTAACAGCCGAGTGGATCTGCTCCTTTGGGAGAAGTCTGGGGGTTTCCATGTACACAACACGTTTCCCTGGCTCAGTTTGGTCCATGAGCGAAAGGCCCTGCGTGGCCTCCCTTGCTGAGTTCTCTGGATGGCTGCGTTCCCTCTCCTCACTGTTTAGGCAAGCTAAAACTGTGCAATTATGATTAACCACTTACTGCAATAGAAGATTGCTGTGCTATTAAAACCGGAACGGACACGACTGGGGAGCAAACGAGCATTTCCAAAGAAAGGGCCTGAACATGCAGCACATGCCCTGAAATAGGTCCCTCCCGCAGAAAGGCCCCAGGTGACCCATGGCTCACTGGAGCAATTACCAGAGTCTTGGCAGCTGGCAAGATCAGCAAAGAGGGTTTATGTCACAGCTTGTTACCTTAATTTGGTTAATTGTAGAGCAGAGTGCAGCTGAAGAGCCAGCTCAAACCAGGCTCCGGCTCCTCAGGGTGCCAGGCCTGGGCAGAGCCCCTGCTCCGGAGGGATGGAGAGGAGCCGGGGGCACCGGGCCAGGACGCAGAGAGGCTCCGGGGCAGCAGCAGGGGCTGCGCTTGGCTCTGCCACCCCCAAGTCTGCAGCCCTTCCTTTGATCCAGGGGCCGTCCCGAGGCTGGAAAGAAGCAGAGCGTCTGTGAGGAACAGGATTTCATAGCTCCCCGTTGGGGACAGCAAGCCCTAGTGAGTAAATAAAGTAAGTAACACACACGAGAGGAAGGACGTGTAGTGCAGTGTTCCCGACCTCCTGCCGTGGCCATTGATGGGCCCCTGGGTCAGGACAAGGCACATGGGGTGCTGCAGGTGCTCTCAGCCCCGCGGCACCTCGGGCTCTTCTGCAGCACCTCCTCCGTGAGGGATTTCTGCAGCGACTGCTCGAGCCTCCGTTATCTCCGTGCGGGGCTCTTGGCAAGATCAGGACAACAGCCACAGCTCACCGCTCTGTCCTACCTGTACCAGGAGGACGTCTGGTGTCCCCTCCATTGCTGAGCTTGGCTTTAGTGCCCCGAGATGTATCATACGGTGCCGGTGGTGTCTGTAAAGGCATTACTGGCAAGAAGAAATTATTCTCTCTGGTGATGCCACATTGGACAGGGTGGGACAGAGCCGTGTGTGGTGCTGGTGGGACCCTGCTTGGGTCCCTTCCTGCACTCCAGCAATGCTCCCACGGAGAGCGTGGAGAAACTGCCCTCCCGCTCCTCCCGCGGGTGCTTCCCGTAGCTACTGACGGTCACTGAGAACAACAACTGTATCTTTTTTCTTGGAAGGACTTGTACTGGTAATTGTTTGGGGAAGGTAGAGAATAAACTAATGAAAGCTTAGGCTGGGGCTCAGCAGAACATGATAGCAGGCACCTCCTCCCTCAGCTCAGCGTTATTGTTCAGAGCTAAACCAGGGCACTAATGCCAAATTAAGATTATGTGACTGAGCATAAGGGCCAGGAATTGCAGATTAACTCACAGTGTTGTATCCGCTTCTTTGCCTTTCTTACCTTGCTTCATTCAAGGCCAGGCAGCTGAACTCTCCTTCAACCAGTTTGCACAGCGACCCAGGGCCCCTTTGTGGCTTCACCTTCACGCTCCTGCACTTCTTCCATCCCTCGCATCCCAGGCTGGCTGCTCCCCTTCCCTCCCCTACAAGCCCTCTATCCCCAGCTTTTTCCCACCGATGGAAGCACGAATGCTGGGAGCGAAAAGCGCCGCGCGTCAGGATTTGTGCTGGGCTGGTTGTGGCGGGGGCTGAGATTTCCCAGGACGAGATGGGCAGAGAGGTGGTTCAGAGGAAAAGCACCTTGTCCCGTTCGTATTCCTTTCCCTTCCCTGGATGCCCCCCTGGATGGGTGGTGTCGGGAGCTGAGGGGTTAAGCTGCAGGCGCTGCTGACTGCCATGTGATAAGGCTGCTAGATTAGTGAGGATCCAGCCCTAAGAGCAATCACATGGGCAGCAACGGGGCTCCTGGGACGCCGAGCGCTAACGTGCGCTCCCGAATCCCGCGCTCCCGAATCCGGCCTCGCTCCGCTTCCTTCCTCCCCGAGGGGAGCCCTGCGCCCACGGGGGAGCGTGGCTTCCCCATCCCCACGCTCCGCATCAAAAGGCAGGGAACAAAACAGCGGCGGGGCATTTGAAAGCAAAATAAATAAACCCTTGGCTGCTCTGGGGGAGTTCTTACCAAATGTTGAATTGAACCCTCTATTTATGGCTTTCTGTTTCAAAAGCAGATAAATAACAGGAACTTTTGATATTCAAGCCCCAAAGAAGCTAACTTCCCACAATCAAAGAGACTGCCACAAACCCTTTGCTTTATCAGGTTGCTGGTGGAACTGGAGGAAATCCTGGGTTTTTATCAAATAACAGCAGCTTTCAGTTGAGAGGACAATGTGACAATATCTGTTTGCATAGCATCTCCAGCCAGAAGGACCCCAGAGGGTTTTCTTCCCAGGGAGGTGTCTGGGAGATAACCCCTGCGACGGCGATTGCACAGCCTGAGAAAACTCCCACACTCCGTAGGGGCCGGTTGCTTGCGACAGGTTTGCTGGAGCCCGGTTATTTGATGCGCTGCTCTGGATTAAGCACTATAAACCTGGAGCAGGCAGCTCCATAGGAAGAGGTGCACGTGCTCTAACGCAACCAGCAAGGCATCAGCACGGTAATGAAGCAGCCTCGAGGCAGAGCTGCTCTGAGGACTCCCTTTCCTTTCATAACCCTGCAAAGGCCCCTCAAGTTCACGGTTTGGCGGGTTCTAGAATTGTTCTCGGTTCTGTTCTCTGCAGGGGACGTGACAAACCTGACCCCTGCACGTTCCTTTGAAGGCACCAAAGTTGATGTGGGCAGCATCGTGTTAGCCTTGTACAGCGGTCTCTTTGCCTACGGAGGATGGTAAGACACAGCCCTCTCTCCTACTCCAGTGCCAACCATTGCAGGTCACTCCTGTCTAGACTGTGCTGGCAGGAGGGCCCTGCTCCAAGTCGGGCTCTTTCTCATTGCAATGACAGTGATGCTGCTGCTTTGGTTTTGCCTAGTAGGGTTAATAGTCATATTTCATGCCCTATTTCCAGCCAGAACATGGAAACAGAAGGAACTGCTGGCAATCATAGAATTTAGGAATCCCAAGGAGCAGGTGATGGGGCTTCTTGGTGCATCTGCAAGGTAGCGTTAAGAGAAAGCACCAGGACAGATTCTTTGGGCATGGCAGAGTAGAGAGGCTGCCCTGGCTAACTGCTCCATGCAGAGGAAGGTCCTTCACAAGCTCTGGGCCATCTTTTTGGGCGGGATCCCAGTCTGTTTCTACACTGGTTCATCCAGACACAGTTGTCTCAACTGTCTGTCACTTCTGTTTGAAGTTCAAAGCAATTTGCTGACAGAGTCGTTTAGACTTTCAACCAGAATTAATTACTGTCTTTTTAAATTACAGGAATTACTTGAATTTTGTCACAGAAGAGATGATAAATCCCTACAGGTATGTATGTGTCCTGTGATGACCTCCCCAGGAGGAAAGGTGCTGGTTCTGGAAACATCCCTTCCTTGTGGCTGCCTTCTGTGTTTAATAGATGTTTTTAATGAGCTCAGAAGCCAAGGTCTCCTAGCAAAAGGGAAGAAGGGGCTATCTCTAGTTATCACTACCAAAAGCTTGACAGAAAATGGCATTGTGCTCCTTAAAATAGGGGGTGGGAATGACAATAACATTTATAAGAAGAGGACTGCTATTTACATGGCTTTTCTGCACTGTTAATGTTGTCAGTGATAGTGGAAAGTCCAATTTCCTTGGCCTGGCACCTAAGTTATAGACAAGGAAGAGGCATTTATGGGTTTATTAGAGTAAACTCATAGAAGTATTTGAGCATATGCCTATTGGCTGTGTGCTTTTCTGTCCCATCAAGCAATAGGCCACTGTCCCCACTCCCCGTGCATCGCAGAGAGATGGCCACATCCAAGCAGGACGTCGCTGACAACTTGTTTTTGCTCGTGGGGAAGGTGTGACCTTCTCTCAATACGTCCTCCAGGGTCGGTTGTGCAAGAGCCTGTTCCTGGCTGACCCCAGCAGTGATTAGTGCCTGCTGGGAAACATGAGACTCCAAACACCCTTTCCTTGATGAACAGAGTTGGGAAAGTTTTGCAGTTTGCAATTACTTTCTAGCCTTCTGAATGCAGACATAGCACTCGACACTCACCTCCTGTGGCTTTGAGCTCCACAGACCAATTATGTGGCATCAAGCAGGGCCTCCTCCTCTAATTACTGCTCATGAATTTAGCTGGGCTATTGGGAAGGGCAAATTTGTAACCACACAGCTTCATCTTTGCAGACCCCTTAGGCTGTGTCTGAGTGAGCTTTCGCTGGGCTTCAGCAGTGCAGCCAGCTGCGGAGTGAGAGCTTAAAAAGGGCCTGCTAAACCCCTGACCTTTCCAGCTCCCACCAGAAGGCACCAACACAAGTGCTTCTGCTCTGTCCAGAAGAGCATACCTGTGCTGGCGCTGCCAGCTAGTGAGATTGCTTTTGGTGGCTTTTGCAGGGAACTTGTTGTACTGCTTGCCCAGACAGCCCACGTCCTGGGCTCTCCAGGCCGCTCCTGGGCGAGCGGTTTTCCCTCTCCTGCAGGAGCAGAGCCCGGCTGGGAAGCGGGATTCGCTGAGGAGCCAACGAGAAGCAGAGCGGCTCGTGCCAGATTTAAATGGATCCACAAGGGCTGCAGCAGCAGCAACCGCCTTCCATAACATTCCCTGGCATTGACAACTCTCTTCTCTGAACTCCAGCGCTCATGACAATTTATATTTTCTTCCTAGAAACCTGCCTCTGGCTATCATCATCTCACTACCTGTAGTCACTTTGGTTTATGTGTTGACAAACTTGGCTTACTTCACAACCCTGTCCACGGAGCAGATGCTGACGTCCGAGGCCGTGGCTGTGGTAAGATAGGTGCCTTTCTGACGTGACTCATCTGTTTTCCAGGGCTGGTTAAATTAGACTTACAATCTCTACATACATCTCCTAGTTTGTTCCATGCTGACCGTGGCTGCTTATGAAACAGCTCGTGTGTGACGGGAGATAAAGAGCAACTGTGACGAGAGCGGGGAAGGACAGCGTGATACCGCGTGGGGTTTATCGCAGAGAAGAGCACGACAGGGCGGCTGCTCTTAATTCATAAATACCCATAGGTGCCGCTGGCCACATGACTTATCATCAGTTACCCGAGTCGGGTATTTACAGGAGAAGGTCATTCACTCAGTACTGAACTAGGCTGTTTTCCCTCTGAGTCTTCCTTGTTCTAATTAAGAGAGAAAATAGTATTTCTATTGATTAAAATGCCATTGCAGTGAAAAGTCCTGATCCCTTCAGAAGGGAGCAGCGTCGCATGGTCTTGCAAACCAAGTGTGACCAGGGTTGTTCAGTGCTTTAGGGGACTCTCCCAGGCCGCTCCAGAGTGGTCTGGGCCATTCGGGTGACATTATGAATCCAAAGGAGAAAGTCTTGAGCCCCTGCTCGAAGTATGCAAGGTCACGTGCCTGGTCTGTTGAAATCAGCCTAATTATTTCAGCATGAAGCTGTGGTGAAGCAGATCAGGGTCAATTTGCAATGTAAGGCTGCAATTTGTAAAATGCTGGGATGCAGCCTGTGAAACAGGCTCCCTGCATGCAGTTGGCAGTAGCCAAAAGTCTCAGTCTTCCTGCAGTTTCAGTTTAGTCTGGAACTTCTGGAATAGCTGGTCTAGCGGATGTTGTGCCCGGACTCTGAGGGAAAGGCCTTGCTGCAATTCCACAAAACGCACTTCCATGAAGGTGATGGAGCAAGTGGCAATTTGGAAAACCTTCCAAAAGACTGAGGTACTAAACCATGTTGGTGTTTCCAGTGTGAAATCTGTGTGAAATCAGGCACCTGTGAGTTCTCCTGGGTGCTTTTAGGTGTGAAATATCTTTCTTGTTGCCCCTCATTTAGGACTTTGGGAACTACCACCTTGGTGTCATGGCCTGGATCATACCTGTCTTTGTTGGCTTATCGTGCTTCGGATCTGTCAATGGATCTCTCTTCACCTCTTCCCGGTAGGTTTCTAGCTCAGCTTTGTGGGGTTTGTTTACAAGCAGAACTTAATGCCTTTTTGCTAGAAGTGCCCTCCAAAGACTGTCTGGGGATAGGCACAGAGTCTAAAAGGTCTGGAGACCATGTGGGGAATGAGAATAATTTAAGGCTTTAAAACCATATCCAGTTTAAAGGAGTGTCTTGCAGTGGTCTTAGTCTTCTGTTCCTCAGGCAAAGTCCTATTGAAGTTATTGGGACGTAACCAAACACAGGCTTGGAGCTCAGTGGCGTTGCCTGAGAAAGTGGCCGTAATGAAAACCAGCAGCTTATGAAACTCCAGGGCTGAGGATTCCTCAGTAAGGGGAGAGGGATGGGTCAGGGCTGGCGTGCAGGAGGTTTCAGCTCTGACACCCATTTCCCGGGTTATCTTAGTAAATTTGCTTAATTGTCCTCCCTGGAAA